ATTCTCCAGGAGCATCCATGTTGCCGCAAATGGCGTTATATTGTCGGTTTTTATGACTAAGTTGTATTCCATTGTATAAACATACCACTTCTTCTTTATCCAGTCATCTGTTGATGGACATTTAGGCAGTTTCCATGTCTTGGCTATTGTAAATAGTGCTGCTATGAACATTGGGGTGCAGGTGTCATTTTGAAGTAGGGTTCCTTCTGGATATATGCCCAGGAGCGGGATTCCTGAGTCATACGGTAGGTCTATTTCTAGTCTTTTGAGGAATCTCCCTACTGTTTTCCACAGTGGCTGCACCAAACTGCATTCCCACCAGCAGTGTAGGAGGGTTCCCTTTCCTCCACAGCCTCTCCAGCATTTGTCATTTGTGGACTTTTGAATGATGGCCATTCTGACTGGTGTGAGGTGATACCTTATTGTAGTTTTGATTTGCATTTCTCTGATAATTAGTGATATTGAGCATTTTCTCATGTGCCTATTGATCATTTGTATGTCTTCCTTGGAGAATTGCTTGTTTAGGTCTTCTGCCCATTTTGGATTGGGTTGTTTGTTTTTTTCTTATTAAATCGTGTGAGCTGCTTATATATTCTGGAGATCAAGCCTTTGTGGGTTTCATTTGCAAAAATTTCTTCCCATTCTGTAGGTTGTTGTTTTGTTTTACTTATGGTTTCCTTTGCTGTGCAGAAGCTTGTAATTTTCATTAGCTTCCATTTGTTTATTCTTTATTTCTATTGCTTGGGTAGACTGTTCTAGGAGAACATTTTTGAGATGTATGTCAGATAACGTTTTGCCTATATTTTCAAGAATGAACAAGATTTTAACTCAGAATGTATTCAACATCTATTTTATTAAGACTTAACTCAATCAAAATTTATTTTCATGATGATAGTATAGAAAGTCTTAAGGACAAAACAAAAATATCCTTAGCCATTACTGGTATTTCTAATTTTAAAAAATAACCAGAAAATTTATGAGGTTATGTATGATTTTTATCATTTATACTTTTCTGTACTTCCCTTTTTCTTTTGTAAGCATTTCTTTACAACCAGAAAAAAATTAATTCAATATTTAAGATTATTCTCTGTCCTACCGATGAGAACAAGGTGAATTGTTTTACCGAAATCATTTGTAAGTTATGACATATTTTCTTCTGTATAAACATAACACAATCTTCTCTATTTCATATGTATTGCAACAGAACTTAATTTTGTGCCCTGCTTAATACAGTTTAGCAAGCAGAAAAGAAGTGTTTTCTCATTTTGTGATATTATGATTTATAATAAGAAATATATATATTTGATCTTCAGCCCCATTCTTGGCACAGAGATCCTAAAACCCTTGGAATTTCCTAAGTGATGATAGTGGTGTCTTGTTGTGTTAATGAGATGACTATTTGATTGCTCCTAAGGATGGAGTCTAGTTGCCAGAAGAACAAACCATCTGATTAGAGGGTTGGAACTTTTGGCCACACCGCCCACCCTCCAGGAGGGGCTGAAAGTTGAAGTGATCACCAGTGGCCAATGATTTAATAAATAATGCCTATGTAATGAAGCTTTCATAAAAACCCACAAGGATGAGGTTTGGAGACAGCATGCATATTCTGAGCCTTTCTTTATACCTTGCCCTGTGCAGCTTTTCCATGTGGCAGTTCTGAGTTACACCCTTTTCTAATAAACTGGTTTTCTAGCAAGTAAAATGTTTCTGAGTTCTGTGAGCTGCTCTAACAAATTAATTGAACCCAAGGAAGGAAGGGGTCATGGGAACTTCTGATCTATAGACTGCTGGTCAGAAGCACAGATAACAACCTGGGCTTTTGATTGGCATCTGAAGTGGAGGGTGGTCGTGTGGGACTTAATTTGAGGAATCTGACACTGTCTCCCGATAGTGTCAGAATTGAATTGAATTGTAGGACAACCAGATGGTGTTCAAGAACTGTTTGGTATGGAGAAACAGACATATACACGAACTTGGCAATCAGAACCCTTACATTTCCATGAAACAGTTTTATCACTTTATTCATGTAGATGATGATAATTAAGTAGTAATGAGAAGATTAACTGGTCAGAAAACTGCTTTGCCTTTCCACAGCCTATGGACTGCTAGATTCCAAGGTGATGCCATTGGAATCATTGACCACAATCTCCAAGTGATGTCAATGTCTCTTTGTTCTGCAATTTGCGAACTTGTTAAGTTTAATCCACAGCACTATATCCAATGTACCTACCACTGGTGTAGGTAAAGGAAGACAGCTATATAAAATATTCCATTTAGAAAGAAATTTTTTGAAGATTTAAAATCTTCTATTTAGAAATTGCCATAACTGATCACCCAAATAGTGATCAGTGCTGGATGGGAATGGTAAGGAAAATAAAAGAACCGATGTCATTTTTGACAACTCTCCTTAGTACTAGAATGATTCCTGAAGTAGTCAATTTGGTTGATTAAGCAAGGGGTACCCACTGGTGACATTTCCTACATCCAAGGTCCTTCAAAATTATCTCTGACATTGGATTGTAGGAGGTACGAGGATGGACCCAAGGGTGGGGAAGTGTACACTGAGGGGTGCAAATACTTTATACTTAGATGGTACATCAGAAGTTCTCCGTCCTGCTGGCTTGAGTCAACCGTGGTTATACTAGGCTTTTTTTTTTTTCCTGGTGATACAAATTCCATATCACCTAAATTAGCTGCTTGAGGATCCATGTGCTACTAGCCAAAGCCACAAATTCTACTGGATAATGCTCTGTGGATTCCCAGGTCTTAAACCAGTGGTTTCTGCTTCCTAGTGTCCACCCTAGATGATTCTGGCAATGTTCCTTGCTTGAATGCCTCAGCTTTGAGGCATAGGTAGAGTGGAGGTTAATAAGAGCTTCTTTCCCCCAAACTGTATTCTGGTAACAGGATTTTCAACGGGAGAGTTTGGGGATGTTAGCAGGTGCTTTGGAAGGGCACATGGGTCATGCACCCCAATCCTCTCTTGATATGTCCATGGTACTGATTCCTCTCAGCTTCTGCTGAGCTGACAGCAATTATATAAATATAATTTAAAATATTATCTATATTATCAAGGAGTAACATAATTAATTGGGTCAAACATAACATGGCTTTAAGGATAGGGCTTAAGAGTATGGCTCTGTTGCTGGGTTGCTTGGGCTCAAATTATAGCTTTGCCCACTTAAGTTTTACATGACCACTCAGTTTTTAAATAACTAAATCTTAAATTTCCTCATCTTTAAAATTGGGGTGTGGATAATTTCAGTATTCAAACAAGTTAACATACTTTTTTTTCACATAATTTGTCTTTATTTGTATTGAAGTATAGTTGATTTACAAAGTTATTTTCTGGTGTGCAGCATAGTGATTCAGTTACACACACGTATCTGTACTTTTTCATTGTAGGTTATTACAAAATACTGAATATATAGTTCCCTGTATTATACAGTAGGACCCTGTTTATCTATTTTATATAAAGGTAACATACTTTTAAAACTGGCACAAAGCAAATGCTATGTTAAGTGTTAGATTTCATTTTTATGAATTAAAAATACGGTATTCAGTAGTTCTTAATAAACGTATACTATTAAATGGAGGTGACATTCAACAGAAATTATTAAAAAGGGGACTGCCTCATGGGCATCCCTAGGTCCCAAACTTTCCCATAGCCCCATCTACATTCCATGACCTACCTCCTCTTGTGGAAGTGCCCACTGAGCTGCTGGAGCCCTAAGCATCCAGCTAATGCCTTGGAAATCCCTATTACTGTAACCCCAACTGCTCCCCAACTGTCCCAGAATCAGACTCCTAATGATGCTTTCATTCCCCCAAGTGGGTATGTAAGAGGGACACCAGGCGATGTGCTAGTTAGTCTTGAGTAGCTGCAGTCAATTTCAGTACCATCACCAGGGAGACTGCTTCCCCTCCACATTTAGGGCCTCTGGCTGAGCAGCAAGAAGCAGTGGAGGCTGGTCAGCACAAAACGGCACAGCTCCCCAGGGATGCCCACTGAGGAATCCCAGAGCCAGGGAAGGCCCACGTGAGAGCTGGGCCAGTCCTCTTGGGTTCATAGAAGCCAATGACAATGGCAGTGTCTGGAAGGCACTAGAGGCAAGACTAGAGGGTGAGGAGAGGTAAGTTACTGGCATGAGCACTAACAACTAGAATGTATGAAAGTGCAGGGTCCTGATATGCTGAACATTAAAAGTTTGTTAGACTGTGGGGAGGGACTGGGCTGAAAGTGAGGAGCACTTGGGGGAGGCGCGGAGCTTAGAGTAGTGGCTGTTTACCAAGTAGTAGGGAAGTATCTTTTTTTAAAGATTGAAAAACACAAAAACAAAAGCTAAGGAAAGCTGTCTTAGCCCTTTAAAGGACCCAAGAACAGAAATCCAGAAAGCCCTCACTCAGGAAGATTGGAAACTGGAACCAGGAAGTCACTGATCCACAAAGTTCTCTCTCCATCTATGATCTCTGCCTTTCTCTGTAAGGGCACACACTGCCCGTCTTAAGCACACCAGCTTTTCTGCTTCCAAGTTTACATACAACAGCTCCAGCCACAAAAAGAGATGGGCTTTCTTTTCCTGAGCTTAATTCCAAATTCTCAGGGGCAGCTTGGGTCATATATGTCTATCTATGACCAGAATGACAGACAACGTACAACATGGCAGCCAGAACCCCAACCCAGTGAAGATGAATTTCTGGCTGAGGGGTCACTGTTAATGGAGCAGATGCTAACCTGAACCTATTTCACAGATCAGTGTAAAAGGGCTTGTGTGCCATGATGCCCTGAAGTCGGAGATGAGGATATGTGGTTTTATAAGAAATAGATGGTTGTTTCATTAGATGAGATGAGGAATACAAGTAACAAATATTTAGAGACATAAACCAATAGAATTTTATTTACCTGAATTTAATTACCTGCTAGGCCATCCAGACGGAAATATGTGGTAAATGGATGGAAACAAGGATCATAAACTTAGGAGAGGCAGGGATTTTTAGGCGAGTTCAGGTTTAGACATTCACTAGATGGACTGGTTTTTTTTTTTAACATTTAAAACTTTTTACCACAATAAACCAATGTATTAAAACTCATTTCCAGAAATGTCCAAATTATTTTTTAAAACATAATTTAATTTTCTCACATTTGTTTACCTGTTAAGTTTTCTTTGGCAAATTTATTCAAAATATTAAATTTTCATTTTAGAACCAAGTTTACATAACACAGGGCCTAAACTGATCCAGGCTCACCAGGATACTTTTCTCTAAGCCCTAATGGTTTATATCTTCCCTTTAAAATGTATAAATGTCTTTTAATTAAGTTGTCATTCACAAAGATATTCTGGAGAAAAAATTATGGATTAAACCCCTATAAACTCTTCCTCATTTCTATTATAGTGTAGCAATTTGTCGTCTAACCCATAGTGGTCTATCAGCTGAGTAAGGCTTAGTTTCTTGTTCTCCTCAGACATAGCTGACTGCAACTCACAAAGCAACAGCTGGCTACAGCTTCTCCACTTCTTTATTAACAACTGTAACTGAGACAGGTCGTTCTGAAATAGGAAAAAGAAAAACATATTTGTATGTCAACTAGATAGTCATCCTAATTTAACTTACTTAATACAAGTTGTTAAATCAGTCGATGAGTAGTAGATTTTAAAGAGTAACACACTTGGACATGAATGGGACTTCTACCCAGGAAAAAAGTAGGATGGTTTTAAGTAGAATGGTTACAGTGTCACTAAAATAGCCAAAGTTCCATAGCTATTTTGTTTGGTCCAATCTCTGGGCCACCCTTAATCTCAAGGAAAAATCAAATCATTAAATAGGGTAAAACAATGTAAAGAAGCAACAATATGGAGGGAAAAAAAACTTCAAAAAATGATGATATTCAACTTAATATTTTTCAACATTCACTATTTCATAAAACCCAAGTCATTATATTTAGAAAAATCCTAAAAATTCAAGAGAGTAAATAAAACATAGTTTCCATAATTTATTCCACATTGCTGGGAAAGAAGAAGCAATTATAATATATGTGAATGATCCAGATAAGTAAGGGTTACCTTCTTCCAAGTGCCCAAGTTCTATTTATTTCAACCTATCTGGATTGGAATCTAATATATATTTGTTGTTTTCTTAAAGAAAATGCTTGGAACATTTCAATAACTTGGAGGAACAAAAGATCATTCCTAAAAATACTTTTTATTGTACTCTGTGGCCCATTTTTAGCTTTTTTACTCATTCACTGTCAGCTGTCGCTTCTGTTCTCATTGCACTTGCAACTAACATTTGAAATTTCTAATACTACTGTGGACTGGAAACTAGAGAGAAAAACTTCAACTGTATATTAAATGAGGGCTAGGACTTTTAAAAAGTTGTATCTGATGTTTAGAGGCCTCTTCTAAACTATGACATATTTGAGTTAAAGTTGCTGGAAGCCAGGTTTCTGGATACTTATCTCTTATTATGCTAAAATAAACTCATTTTTTTTCTTTTTGAAATTACTTCCCTACCATTTGTCTAAAACTGAAAAAAAAAAAAAGTCAGGCAATGATTCTGAAATTCTTCCTACCTTTGATCTATACATTTTGACTAGTTTTAGCCTCCGAAGAAGGTCTTCTTTCTCCTGAATCTGCTTCACCAATTTTGCTCTTTCTTTGTTTAATTCTTGTTTGGGAAGATTCTCATTCATAAAGTCATTTTGGAGATCACTGCATGACTCAGTATCCGGTGATTTAGATTCACACACATTGATATTCTTGAAGGTATTTTTCAAATATGGACTTGCTTCAGATTCACTGTCTATGTGTTTAAAATTTTCTTGAAATTCCAAACAGTTTTCTTCTGCTGAAGATGCTGGTCTCTCTGAAAAGGTCTGATCATTTTCTTCACTCTCTACTTTAAGTCGTTTCACCACACTGTAACAGGAATTAAATGAAGATCTAGCTTTCCTTAATCGTTCTCTAAGGGTTGCACTCATAAGCTGAAAAAGGCACCAAAAGTTAATACTCTTAATCGGGAAAAACAGTCTTAAATATACTAGAAATCAAGACCTTACATTTCTATGGCAGACACCACTAGATGGCTTTCTGTCTTCATATATTTCAAGTAATCATCACAAAATGCCTTTAATTCCTGGAAACTCCACTAAGTTTTATTCTCTTTTTATTTCAATTAGTCAGCACCCTTCTAAAACAGTGTTGAGACATCCCAGCAATCACGAATATTTGTTCAGAAATTAGCCCATACCTGACACTGTTCTAGGTGTTTCGGAGTTACGAATTAAGGAAAAGTCCTAGATCTTTTCACAACAGACCTTCATGATATCACAGATTCAAACTTCCTGTTGGAATGTTGTAATAACTTGAAATTAAATGAAAATAATTGAGTCAGGAGAAAATTAAGGGGGGGGGAGGTCTAATACATTCATTATCTTAGGGGAAAGACCTAAATTCTTTGCTAATAAAATTTTTACTTATTAATCTACACATTATGTTAATTAACAATCATCAGTGGGCTTAAAACCACCACTGCCATAATACTTAGAAATACAGAATAGAAAGAATTAAAAATTTCATACTTGTTTTTTTGAACTACTTGTTTGGGGAGGTAGTGGATTGGCACCGGCCTGTGGAGTGCTAGGTAAAATCACAGCTGAGTCTGATGGGCTTCCCATCTTGATATCTTGGTTTAATTCTACGGGGGAAAAAAAATCAAATTAACCCACAATTCGATATATGCCTCAATTTTTATCAAGGAATTTTTTATTGTACATAATATCCACAAGTAATCCAGCGACTTCCTCTTTCACTTAGTTATGATTCATAGCACTTTTTGCAGTTTTCCGTTTACCTTTTAAATCATTGTGTTGGTCCACATGGTGACTAATTTTTTCATAACTAGCTAGCACCTCATATAAACTCCCCCATTTGTTTTTTTATCAATCAAAATATCCTCAAAAACTGCGATGTGGAGGGGTCATTACTCCAGGTTCACAGTGAAAGGAAATGTAATTGAAATCGTGACTCAGAAAAACCTAATCAGACCTCTCACACTTCTCCAAATCCTAAAAGCTGCGTCACTAGAACGAATGACCCTCCAGGCCTGAGGAGTAAGGCGCTCAGGCACAGATAAATTTACTCCAGTCCGCATCGTTTCTGTGGCGAAAAGGCCCTGAAAAGGAGAGTCACCTGAAGCTTGTTCCTCAAACAAAGGCCATCGACTTTACCAGAGGGGAAAAGGAAAAAACAAGAGGCAGGAGTCCTCTCTCCCCTACCGCCATTGCAGAAAACCCGCACGAGCCCTCGAGAGACCCCAGCCCTGAGATGGAGTGGAGCGGTGCCCTGACTGCGGAAAGAGAGCGCTACTCCCCTCCCCATCAGATCCTCGGAGTCCAGCTCTCAGCCACCCACGCGCCCGCACGCTACCTCCCTCCGCCATGCCCAACGCTGCCGAGCGCGCGCGCTGCCGGAGCCGGGAGCCGGGCGTCTCAGAGGCGGGCCCGCGCGCGGGAGGCGGAAGAGACGCGCGATTGGCCAGATTGACTGACGCGCGCAGCTGGGCTCCGCCCAGCGCCAGAGAGCGGCGGGACCGCGCGCGCGCGGCTGCGGGCTTTCGCGGGTGTCGAGCGCGCGCTGGGCTGAGCTTCCAAACGACGAACAGATCCCGAGAAGGGCGCGCTTCTCTTCGCGGCTTCCCCCTCCCTCCCCTTTGCGTGCTGCGCCTTCTCTCCCTGCTTCCTGGTTTTTGTGTGGGAAGGACTCCTGAGAATGCCCCTCCCGGCCTGGTAGCTCCCGTCAGTCTCGCCTCCGTGCTCCCCACAGCAGAGACCCTTCTTCTGCCGCTACGGGACCGAGGGCCGCGAGGCCGCCTGTGTGTTAAATTTACTGCTTGTAAACTCCAAGGGCAGAGACCGCAAAAGAGCAGCGCCGGGCTAAATGGCCTGTTGAGAATCAAACAGGTTAGAAATCCCTCCAAGAGTCTCTGCGGATGCAGTTGAGCTCATTTCTAGTCTTTGCTGCCGCAAACTCCGCGGTCCCGCCGCGGCTTTTCTGCTGAATCTACCTGAAAAGTTAGATTCCTTAGGTTGGCTTCAAATCTTTTCGTCAAATCTGAGAGAAAATGTAGCCCAAGGAAACTTGTAGTGGTGCCACAATAGGAATCAGATCAATCTCTAAATACGATTGGGTTGGTCCAGAACTGGGGTGTCTGAGGCAGAGAGGGCCCTTGCTGAGTACTGGGTAGCAGCATCCTTCGTCTAAAATAATCCTGGTTTCCTGTGTGGTGCGGTTCCGTTGCTGTGCAAAACAAAGTTAACTCAGTTGGGTGGAGCACTGGGTTTAGGAAAAGACAGTTGAGTAATTTCTGAGTCACATGGAAGTTGGGAGTTTTAAGGGGCCCGTGTTTTGAATCCCGGGGAATGGCCATTTTAAACGTTGACGCTTTTTACTAACATCTGGTAATTATGGCTTAGAAGTAGCCAGGACCCAGAAGAAATGAACTGAGCCCTAAACAGTGGAAAGTAGTTACAGAACCTGAAGACAGCCTAACGCGGTGATTAAAGACGTAAATGTTGGAGTCAAAGTGCCTGGGTTCAAATCTCAGCATCATTATTTTATGTGCTTTGTAATGTAGTGTCTCTGTGCCTCATTTTCCTCATCTGTTAAGTGGGCATAATAGTATCAACCTCCTAGGGATTGAAAAATGAGAATTCGTGACAGGCAGTGAGAATGGCGGTAGGTATCTAGGAAGCACTCAATAGTTTTCATGTTATATATGCAGCTATATTCACTACTCATTTGATTTAAAGGAATGCATTATATAATTCTTTCATGCCTTCACTTATCTCTCCCCGCAAAAAAGCCACAGATTTTTTAAAGATGCTGTGATCTGTAGGATCCCTCACAATTTAAGTTATAAATAGCAGAAAACTTGGAGCCTCCACATACAATAAATAATATATTCTCCTAAATTTTTCAAAAAGTATATAAATTAAGCTCAAGGAATTTACAGAATGAAAGTGAGAACTTACAATTTTGTGATACAGGTGTTACCTCAGCAAGCCACAGGTCTCAGTCTGTACATTTGTTTCTCCATTTACTCATCCATTAGCACCAGTTTTTCATACTGAAAAAAGTAGTGATTTGTCCTGAACTAGAAGCACAGTGCACACTCTGCATATTCTTTACACCTTGGGGCGTAAAGTTGGGTTGTTTTTATGATTCCCGAAAATCAGCTGCTCCAAAAGCCTTTTATCATTACAACCTAAGCTTAGAGCTGTGTTTTTACTGGCTGCATAAAGGAAAACATCTTGCCTTGCAATTGTTCTGACTTGCTTACATGAACTGGTATACTAAATGGGATTGTTTTGGCCAGATTTTCAAAGAACTTCAGAACAAGTACTCATAAGAACCAGTATTTCAGAAATGTGCATTTGGTGACCTACATTTCTGACTTCCATGTGTTAGAATTGAATGATTTTCCCATATACAAGTTTGCATTTTACTTATTCCATCACATGCTAAAATGGAAACATACATTTCACTCTCAATTTAGGTAAGGGATCTGGAATATAGTTCCTATACTTTTCGTTGTACCTTTAGATAAAGCCTAGCAACCATTTCCATGTCTTTAAGAACTGTAGTCTACTGGCCTATAAGGAGTTTGTTGTTTTCGATGCAGGACATTGTGTGTTTCATATGAAACTTTTCAGTCTGGGAAAAATACTGCCCCAGAGAACCAGAAGGCAAGGACTCTACTCCACCATAGAGAACAATTTGAGCAATAGAATTCAATGATAATAGTAATTAATACTAATGTAGGGCAGGCTTTCTCTGTGTTTTTAAATTTCTTCAATACCCAAGGCTACTGTTAGACGCTTTATTATTCATCAGGGAGTGGTAAAGTGCTTCTTCTGTTTGTTCTTGTCTATGATTATTGTTGGTGGGATGATGACATAAACCTAAAAACCTTTATGAGGTTTTTTTTTCCTTGTTTAATAGCAGGAAGAGAATAGTGAATAGTCCCTTTCTGTCTCTGTCTCCATACAACCAAGGGTACACACACTTTTAAGCCACAATTTAAAATTTTATTGCTGTAGATTTTTTTAAAAAAATTCTTGGCTTTTGCATTACTTTAAAAATCTTAACAGTAATCTCAGGGTGACCTAAATTTCTTTCCATTGACTTTTCGATATTAACAAAAATGTTCGTATCATGTAGACATAGTATCCACAGGTATTTTTTAAACAAAATATAAATACACACTTTTAAAACCAGAATTAAAATCCACTTGAGTGAAGAACTTTATAAAATCCACATGATGAAGTTGGTTTATAAAGTCCATTAGGACAAGTTAAACTAAATGTATAACACTTATAAGAAAGTCTAGTAAATTCTCTCAACTGGCTTTCAGTATTTCTTATGACATTTGTATATAAGTTGAAAATCACCTTCAAAATCTCTCCTCTGGGTTTCTCTTGCCATGAATTCAGGTCTCAATCTCATAGACCTAGCCATGGTGAAGAAGATGTGTTTTAGTGCTCCGTCATCTCATAAATTTTCCTTTCAGTAATTGACAAAATATTTCTGTTTCTTTTTTCTGTTACCTAAATATCTCATATGGAATTCTGTAATGTGTGATTGATTCATCTGTAGAGACTATTGAAGACTTTGATATCAAAGGGTGACCTTTGAGGGTAAACTGTATAATCATCTTTAGGATTTTATTTTAAACTTCAAGATGAAAGAGCCCTTGACTTAGCTCTTAGGCATGCCTGAGAGGTTGCCTTACTGAGTAGGATGACTACTTCAAGCATGGAGATATGGGGAAGGTCAGTAGTATTAATGTGATTAAAAAAAAAAACTGTTCACCACGAGGCAACCAGAAAATTTGTCTGGTAATTAATATTGAGGGTAATATGCTGAACAAGAATCTAAAGAGCTCCTTTCACCTGAAGTTCCTGTCCTTTTATTCTATTAGCTCTGGCATTTTGTCAAGTCCATTAGAGACTAGAGAAGCAAGAGTGGCTGTGATTCACTGCTGTTAGTGGGGTGTGTTCTCTTGAAGAAGAATAGAGTGATTCACATGAAATTAATAATGGTGAGGAAGGGGGTAGGGTGTGGGTGAGTGGGAGGGTCATGGCAGAGGAGTTAGATTGTGGAAAAGTAATGGTAATAAAAGTATTGCTCCAGGCCACATCTTTCTTAGATCCTTTATTAACTCAAAAATGTCACCCCTGCATTCATTTGGAGAAAAAAAAAGGCAATAGATATAGGCAATAGATGTCAGCAAATCCTTAAGCAACAGAACATGTCTTATAATCATCTTTAACCACCTGAAGTTTGAGAGATAACAACTCCCAAGATAATTTCACAGTATTGAAATCTGTTTGAAGTGCCGGTGAAGTCAACTCAGTTTTCTACTCTTGCCTCTCATTACTGTTTTAGCTTTGAGAATATAAAAGGTTCTTTTTGGTGATGCTTTTTTAAGATGGGGGAGTAAGAGTGTCTATGAGTACCAGGAAAATAAGGAGTTAAAAGACCATTCTGCCATGTTCTGTTGAGCTTTGGCTTCTGCTCTTCCTCCCCTTGGCAAACTTTGATGCTAAGTATAGTTAAGTAGAGAAAATCTGTGAATCAGCCTATAACCAGAAATTTTCTGGCCCAGTTCAGGATCTGAGAGCTAGACTGACACTTAATCCCTTTCCCACCACTGTCAAAGACAACGTAAAATGTCTTAGATTTTCATCATGGACCTTTATGAACAGTACCATACCCACTGAATGCAGAAACCCTGACAGAGAGGTCTGAATCCCCAGGGAGGATCCCTTGGCGAGGCATGATCAAAGGTGGGGGAGGCGGCTTGAGCAAAGTCATTTCTTCCTTGATCCTCCCCATTCCACCTCCAAGGTCATGCCTAGCGCCCATGTCTCCTGCACTGTGTCATCTAAGTTATACTGCTTGTCAATAACATCAACATTACTCAGCTCTCCATCTCTGCCACACCTCTATGGCTGCTAAAAAACAATGTGAGAAGTTTAATAATGATTCTCGTGACCCACAATCAGCAAATGATAACACTATTTTTTATAGTGAAAAATATCTTTCCCATGGATAGGATCCCGGAAAGGAAACATACAATACAGCCTATGTTCACCCTGACGTGGTTCTCCAAGATTTCATCCAGCTATTTAGACTTTAAAATTAAGACAGATAATACTTTTCCTTTAACAGTGTACACCTTTAGCTCAAACTCTTCCCAACCCTTCCACCTCCCAAAATTTCCCCTTTTGTGCTACTCTGGTTATTATTATAGCAGCTATCAAGTACCTAATCATCTCAATTATTTTTCACTTGATGTAAGTGACTAGCTCTGAGTCAAATTATCCATTTCTTACAGCCACTTTCAGACTTTTATTTTTTTTAATCAAGAGAGAGTTACTTAATTGTTTTCCAATACTCCATAGTACATGGGAATGATGGCTTACTCTATCCCCATTGTACTGTTAACTCTCTTCTTTACACTCTTTTGTAACCTGTGAATCGATGCCCTTTTATAAATGCTGGATATTGAAAACTCAACCATTGTGTTGCTGAAGATCTGCTGTAAGTGCAGTTCATACCAAGTGCAGGGATAACATTTAGCAGCAAAGATGGTCTTGAATTTTGAAAGCCTGTCACTTGGCAGATAGCAAAGAACACAGATTTGGGTTTTGGTGGCAGGCAACTAATCATGTCCACATTTGTTAAGCAAATTTCTATGAAACTATAAATTATAAACCACCCATACATTTGAAAAAAAAAAAACAAGCATTACTACAGGTTGGCAATATCTGAAATGCTTTCCTAGCCTAACACTAGGCCATTGAAATAGGGTATTTTGAACCTGCATGTACAAGTTTAAGATTTTTGTAAAGCTGCCAAATCTTTAATATAACAATAATTAGCATAAAGCTTGTGCAATTAAGCAGCCCCAAAAGGAATGAGTTTGAATCTTTGGCAAGATGTTCCTCTTTTTAAAAAAGCAGTTTCCCAGTACATACTATTTTCACTCAGAGCTGTTTTATTCAGGTTTTGAAAGTATATAAAGCTGACCTTGTTTCATTCCAATAATCGTCTACAGGGATGCAATTTCTTCTAATTTTCTTTTTTTTAAGGTTTATTTATTAATTTAAAAAAAAAAAAAGCTTTTCTAATGAAGGTACTGGGTATTGACCCAGGACCTCATGCATACTAGGCTAACACTCTACCACTGAGCTACAGCTCCCTCCCCCCAGCAATTTGTTTTTAGGATAAATCAATCAACCAG